CCCCACTCCCGAGGTCCAGCCTCCCAGCCTCGGGGGCTCTCCTCTCCATCCCGGGGTCCAGCATCCCGGTCTTGGGGGCTGGGCCAAGGGGACCAGGGGCCGTCTCCCAGCCGTTCTGGGGCAAGGCCACCTTGCTGGGCGCAGGGGCTCTCTCCGGCGGGGTCTCGGGGACTGGCTCCCCACTCTCGGGTGTCTTCTCCCGGGGCCCTGGGGCTCTCCAAGGCCCAGTCTCTGTCGGCCTCTCCGTGTTCCTGGGGAACCTCAGGAGCCCATTCTCGGAGACCGTCTCCTCGATCTCGGGGGGTATCGGCCCCCCATTCGCCAGAACCTTCTCCCCGGCCTCTGGGGACCTCGGCTCCCCATTCTCCAGAGCCTTCTCCTCCCTCCTTGGCGGTGTCAGCTCCCCATTCGCCAGCACTTTGACTTCTCTCTCTGGGGACCCCAGGCCCCCGTTCTCTGCAGGCTTCTCCTCGATGTCCGGGGCTCTCTGGGGCCCGTTCCCCAACACTGTCACCCCGTTCACGGGAAGGCTTAGGCTTGGGGCTTTCTTCCCGCCGCCCAGGACTTTCTCTCTGTTCCCGGGGCCTCTCCCCACCTTCCTGAGTCCTGTTTCCCGGGGTGTCGCCCCCTTGTCCCCTAGGAGGTTCCTTGTCACATCCTCTCGCAGGGACATCAGCAGCTGCTCGGTGCTCACTTGAACTACGAAGGTTGGCTTCTCCCGGGGACCCGGGTCTGGGGGTGGCCGGGGCGCTCCTGGGTCGGGTGGCTCGGGGGGAGCCCGAGGCCGAGGGACCCCTTCCTCCTCGGCTGCCTCCCCACCTGGGAACTGGGAGACTGAGGCACGAGGATTACAAGTTTGAACCTAGCCTGAGGACCTTAGTGAGACTTTGTCTCAAAATAAAAAGGGCTGAGGATACAGCTTAGTGCAAAGGCCTGGGTTTAATCACTACTATCATTAAAGAGAAGGAAGGGAGGGAGGGAATGAAGGAGGGAGAGGAGGAGGAAAAGAAGGGATACATACATTACAATACCTAAAACTAATGAGCTACCTACTTATTTAGGCTTAGCTCACTTACAGAATGTTGACTTGATTAAACAAACAAAAATCTTACAGAATTCTTGTAACAAGTATCACAGAGGCAGTAATTACCATATTAAAAATTCTTATTCCTCTATGATAATGAAGAGGAAAAATAAAGCAAACCTTTCACATTACTGCTCATTTGTCAGTAATGTGACTACCTAGTCCTACACGCAGGCTGAATTTATATACAGTATTCAAGAAGTATTTTTAAAGCCTCACTTGAAACAGAAAAAAAGTCCTCCAAAAGTAAAATTGTTAAATGGATTCTTGATTTTTGTTTTGACTGAACACAACTACAATTTGTCTCTAAAATGTATGACTGTGGGTCCAGGTATGTGGGCAAGTACATGGCAGAGACACTCCTAAAACTTTCTCAGGACTCTAGAAATTAATGAACTACAACTGTCAAACCTGAGTCCTTAGTCTTGACAATTCTCAGAGCACCAACAAAATCTCACCTGAAGGCTACTCAGAAGAAATTGCCAATCATACATTAGAAGAGAATTCAGTTATATTTCCATGCCTCATCATATCAATTGTGGTACTAGATCAACTGTGCAATTTCTAGAGTCTAGGAAATTGTTTCACATTCCTTCAATTTATCTGATTTTGCTACTTGGACTTCACAGAATCAGCTTGGGCACAAAAGAGCAACCTAAACCCTTCTCATAAGACTCTCCCAGCAAACAGAAGCACTTCAAAATAAATGTCAATAAAAGGAAGCTGAAGATTCTTTAATTTTTTGAATGGCCCACTTACGAATTCTGCCCTCCTCCTCCTCCTCCTCTTCGGCCCACGGGGCAGTTCCCCGTTCCCCCAGAACCTCGGCGGGGTCTCCTGCCAGGGTCTCCCCAGCGCCCCGGCCCTCGGGGTCCCAGCCACTCAGCAGGAAGCTGCCAGATGCTGAGGACTGGGCTGGGAAGGGCCGGGGCGCAGGGAAGAGGGGGGAGGCCCAGGTCTCGGACACCAGCTGAGGGACCTCGGAGGGGGCCTGGGGGGCTTGAGCAGCAGGCATGCCTGGGTCCAAGGGGTCCCAGTCGTTGGGGAAGAGGGGCTCTGGTGGAGAGCCATGCTCCTCGAGGCGGATGTAGTACTCGCTGCTGACCGAGGGGCTGCGGGCGCTGATGACCGGCAACACGCTGGGTGTGGACAGCGCCTCGTAGAAAGGGTTGGAGGGGTTGGCATGGGGGGCTGGGGGCGCCGAG